AATGGCGATTGCTCTTGCCACCGGAGAAGCCTGTGTGCCCCTGACTCTGGGCCTTGTTGTGAAGGAACATGGCTTCTGCTTCAAGCTGGATCACCTCGATGGCATAGTCCACAGCTTCTGAATTGCTTTCATCCAAGCCTTCTTCAACCAGGGCCGCATAGGACTCAAAGGCGAAGTCGGCCGTGGATTCAAACTCCCAGTCCTCAGCTGCACCCGTGTAGAACGATGCTGAGGGCTGTTCATACTCTTCGAAGCCACCAAGGGATTGAGATCCTTCGTCCCAAGTTTCTTCAGCCACATAGCTCTGCTGCTGGAAGGGCGTCGACCATGTGTGGTAGGATCGGGACTTTCCTTTTCCACGGCCGAACTTGCTGGAGTAGCGCTCTTGCTCATGACGGTGGCGAACTTCTCCTTCATGAACATGAGGATGTTGAGCAATGAGTTCATTGCATACCTTGGTAACCGTCATGTCGCCTCCAAGAGCCGTGCGGATCAGCAGCTGGTGATCCGCTGAGATGCCAGCCGACATCAGGACCTGCTCCGAGAGGATGGCCTCTGGCAAGGCGAGCTTGTCATCAAGATCACAAAGCATCTTGTACCAGGTCCGCCTCCTGAGGAGATAGGAGGTCATCGGCTCTCCGTATTGCCTGCTCAAAGGGCCATGGACTTGAGCTCCTGCGGCATAGAGTTCACGAGCTTCTTGTTGTCGTCGTGGTCGAAAGGCCTGGTAGAGGTGCTGAAGCAAACCTTCATGACCATTTTCACCAGCCAACTTCGTGAGCTCGATCTCTCGTACCACTTGGATGGCAGCACCTGTCAAGCCATCAACTAGGCGCAATCCCAACGGTCCTTGCTTCTTGAGCTCTGCCGGGTCCAAAGCCGCGTCGCGAGCAGCTCGAAGGCGAACTCTAAAGGCGTACTCCTGCAAGGCAGCTGGTGATCCATCGAACTTTGGAACACCTTTGCCTTCTGTCCCGCTCATGAGGTTCTCAGCCTCCTGGAACCGATGCCATCGAAGGCATTCGAGCGCCGCCATCACGCCCCGACGCAAAGGCGAAAAAAAAGAGGTGCCCCCAAACGGAAAACAGTGGGTCTGCCGAAGGGTCCCTGGGGAGTGCTAAGCTCCGGTGCCAATATGAAAAGTCGTGACACCCACACGTGAAAAGGTCTCAAAAGCTGCGCGTCCTTTTGAGCCTGCATCTTGAACCACAGGCGGTCGTTCATGCCTGTGTGACAGTCAAACCTGCTGGACGGATTGAAGAGGCAACTGCATGAGATGCGGTTGCTAGCGGGTCAACATGTTCCATTTCACATTTTACAACATTTGACATTCGCACGAGGCTTGACCCAGTTTTTTATCTTGCAAGGCACTGGGCCAGGCGCGTCGGGGAGAGGGGCATAAGCGGTGGGCGGCCGGCGCAGCGGGTCAATTAAGCTGCTGCTGCGTGGCCGCGGTCCCTGGCGCAAGGGTGGCTAGCCCTGGTGGTGCTTCCACTTCTGGAATGACTGTGGGATCCACAAATCTCGAAATCAATAGGCCTCCCACTAGCAGTCCATGCTCATTGAATCTCCGACATGGATCCTTTTCCAAAACTTCAGGCACTTGCACCTCCAAGCAGCTTTCATCTTCATCTCGAATAATAAAAAAAAAATTGGGCCTGGAACTGTTAAAGGCCAATTTTGCAAGCTGAGTGGTACCTTCAGGTCACCATTATCCAACATTGGTTCCCCAACCATGTTTCATCAGTCTTCCATAGCAAGGTGTGAGCTGATATACCTGAAAACTGAAGACCACATTCTCATTGGGTAGGATGTGAGTTGCCCCCGGTTCTCGGTAGAAGCCGTCGTTCTCGTCACACTCACACGTCAATCCGCTCCTCACCCTGCCTCGCAGGGCCCTTACAGATAGGTCAAAATGGATAGCAAAGCCGAACATTTTTGATTAGCTATAAGTCACAAGAAGAAGAGATCAGAGCACGTCATGGGTCATTGGAAAGTATTTGAGCGCAGTTGACGAATTCTACATGCAGGACCAGCGGGAAAATCGTGACAAACCATTTTTTTGCGTTATGGACATGGCAAGTGAGGCAGACATTACCAGGTGCATTAGGTTTTTTGGATTGTTATGGCCTCATTGATGGGAAAAAGGGCACTGCAATTGGTGAAAACTATGGGTTTGATGCCCGGAGGAGTTTCAATAAAGCTTAGAAGCCAACTTCAAAAAGGCAAGGGGCTTATATAGCTTTTCTGAGCAGCCACTACATGGCCAGCATTTTCAATGAACAGTGCGCTGCAACCTTCAACTCTTGAAACTTGAAGGAAGGTTTGATGAACCAGTCAGATCAAGGATGGCAATTCAGGAAAATTGAAATTTGTTTTTTTGAGGACTTGCATCCATGCGGTGGGTGTGTGAGCAGTGGATTAACGTGTCCATGTTCCAAGGCCAGGCTTGCACTCCATAATTACCTCAAAATTCCATTCCAAGGACTTGCTGATAAGTGTTTCCACAGTGACAAAGGCATCATGCAGAAAACCAAGGCTCCAAATCCCGTCAGCTATTGCCCCTGCTTCGTTTGTTGCGTGGCAGCAGAAGCATCGACGTGGCCTGCCAGCTTCCCGGGGCCCGGATCCTGACAATCCTACATCCAACAAGAGTAGGCTAGCTAGCTCTTGGTTTCCATCAAAGTCGGGTTTTGATATGATTTGGTGTGGCGTAATGTGAAAAGAAAAAGGCGCGCGGTGTGGATAGTATGCCTCTCAGACTTCCACTGGAACACCCGCCGCCGTCATAACGTGTCAGCGACGTGTGCGGAAGCACGAACCACCAGCATCACTTCACAAACACATTGAACAAAAGAGCTCGACACAGTGTAACGCGAGGCCACAAACCACCAGAAGCTAGTCACAATCACATTGAGCAAAAGATTCCAGCTCAGCACAGCAGCTTTCAAAAAAAACACTTTTCAGAATCACCACGGGAAAAAACAAACTCAGCACAGTATCCTTTTCACAACTCCAAACATGGACTTCCCCCTCGTTCAGCATGCGGGCTTGCAGGGCCTTTGGCAGGATTGAGCATGTCATTGTGTTCAACGCAATGTTTGCTCACGGTGTGCCGGGTCCTTAACAGAAGTGAAATGCAAAACTTTGTCGAGAACAAACTGGATGGATCAAGGGTGGCAAGCGATTTACTATCCAACATGGAGTGAGAAAAGGCGACATCATTTTTTGAACACCGCAAAACCCAAAATCCTCGAGACGTGCACATTCCAAACCCCGACGGTGATTCAAGTGGACGATGTCTTTTTGGAAATTCTGGTTGGTGATGACGTCCACAAATGCTTTGCGACAATCTTGACAGGCATTGCGCAACCGAGGGCAAATGGAAGTTGCCCATCGGCGGAAAGTATGCTGGGCAAAACTTCGCCAGCATGCAGACATCTTGTTGAACAAACATATACCTTTACAATTGCGGCTGAAATTGCTCAATGGCTTGGAATCCAAACCTAAAGACGAAGACAGAAACGCTGAAATTGGATGCGTTGAGGCGACGTACGTTACGCAGAGTTGTGGGATGGGCTAGGTTAGGTCTGATGACGAACATTGGCAGACAACAATGCGTCGCATGAATGCTACATTGGAAAATGCCAGCCGAATCTGTCCATTGAACTTGTGGAGCGATACTTTGCACTTAACAAGATTTCGCTTGGCCGCTCGCATCCGGCTACGGGCAAATTCCTGGCCCACACTATGGTTGAGGTGGGATCCTACACGACAATGGCAGATGAATGGTCCATCAAAACCAAGTCGTCGGCAAGGCCGGCCTGCAATCAGATGGGGCGATTCGTTATCAAAATGTTCGGTAAAATATGTTCATCAAGAAGCGTGGCTAGATGTAGCGCAAACCGGTTTCTATGGTTTGCTTAAGAAGCAAGCATTTGTCCGATTTTGCCGCTCAATGCAGTTATTATATGCCGATCAGGTCGGTGAGGTGATGGGCAGGTGGGGCCGGAGCCGTGCGTTCGACATTAACGCTGGTGTGAGGCAAGGGTGTGTGTTGAGCCCACGGCTTTTCTGTTGTGTTGTACAATGGGCAATGGAAAGGTGGCGGAGGGAAAATCCAAATGTTGGTTTTGACCTCGGGGATGGGTTGAATTCACTACTGGTTGCGGATGACATCCTTCTATTTGCGAAATCTGCATCGGAGGCCATCGCCCTCTTGGATTCATTACTTGTTTGTTTTGCACACGTGGGATTGCAGTTGAATGCCACGAAAACCGTTGTGTTGACCAATGAAGCCCAGCCACCCCCAACACTCAGAACTGGAAACGGCATTGTTCTTGATATTCTAGACCGCGATGCTGGTCACAAGTGGCTGGGATGCATATTGTCCGCAAGAGGTTCCACAGAGCAGCGCAAATACGTGCGGCTTCATTTGCGGCAACCGAGCAAAGCATTTTTTTGCAAGTCAATGGTTACTCCGCGACAAATCTGTCTCTGTCAGGGCACGCCTTCACTTTTTTGAATCTGTCGTGACTTCAGTCGCTTGCTCTGGAGCTGGATATGGGACTGTGCACCAACAGGATTTAGATGCAATGAATGTTGAATTTTTTCGTGTCCTTCCCCAAAGCAGCGGCGGTCACGCTATGTACAGCCGGGCAATGCCAGCTCACGGCCGCAGGGGGAGTCGGCTAGGCGCGGGGGCCCCGGCAAGCGGAAGGATCTCCCCGAGGGGGAAGTCTGCGGAGCCGGTGGGGGAGGGTGGCGCGCGCCAGTCGTCCCCCAGCAGCGTGGAGCACAAGGCCGACGGAAACTTTTGCGTTCCCTTGTGGGCCCTCCTGGCAACATTTCTTGGGATCAACCTTGGCACGACATACTGCATCATTGGAATGAAAAGGTATGGCGCTTGACCGAACTGACTTCGACAACAGGTTGGGTGACCGTAGTCCTCCGTCACCATTGGAAATTTGGCGGCTACGTGGCGCGGTTGCCAGAAAATCGTTGGACCAAAAACGTGTACTGAATTGGCGCCTTGCCAGCCGGCGAAAGGTCGGAAGACCATTTGCAACTTGGGAAACTTACTTCGAAAAATTCTGCAGGTACAACGGGTTGGGAACTTGGTATACGGTGGCTGCTGATGTGGACTTGTGGCGCTCCTTGATGGACGACTTCGTGCTATTTTGTTTCCGGAGTTGATTTCATTTCCGGGATGATGTTTTTGAACCAAAGAAGTTCTTGTTTTTCACCCCGCCTGCGCCCTACATGGGCCGCCTTCGGACGCGCAGGCGCAAAGTCAAAGCCAAAGTCCTTAAAGGACTGTATGCTCAGGTGGTCTAGACTCCAAATCTGGTCGTGATCAAAATACGAGCGTGCTGAGTCGCCGCACTCTCGTATGTGAAGAGACTACTAGCGTTACTAGTGCCGCTGCACCTTGCGCCATCAAAAAACCTACATTTACATTAGGAAACCCACCAACCTCCATTCAAGAAAGGCATGCAGGAAGTTGTTCATTTCAGGCTCAGCCCCCAGGATGGTTGAGAACACCTCCAGTTTTATCCGCAGCAGCGCGATGCTGAACCATGTAAACACGCCAGGTCGCTTAGTTGTTCAAAGGGAGGCGGCTAGGGGCCGGGAAATCTGCCAAGGCCAAAAAGGATCAGCCAGCAGACCGTCCCCAGCAAGGGCGGGGGCTGCGAAGGAACCCACCACGGAAGCCACTGCCCGCTGCTGGGCCAGGTGCTCCTCTGGTGGTCAACGACATGTCCCTTCACCTGCGTCAGAAAATTCCCCACTTCACGCGTACAACAACACAATTCCAAATACATGAGCCTTCCATAAACAGTCCCGTCTTCAGGCCGGCACCGTTGGCTGAGAATTGGTGAAGCCCATCGTGACATCCCAAGAAACTGACCATGCAACCATTCCTGGCAAAAGGTCTCTGATTGCAGACCTTTAGGATGGGAAGGGGTCCAAAAATGCCACGCAAGAGGGGGCAAACCCGACAAATGCTTGGGCTCAGAAGACTTCCGGCGAGATCCTGACTTGGAAGCTTTCGCGGCGCAAACAACAAAACACATTAGGCAAGTAGCTGGCTGAGGATCCTCACCCCCAGCGGTTTCAGCCACTTCAAAGGAGCGAGGAGGGTGCGCGGGCAGGCTGAGAGCCAGACGCACTGTTTTCGCCGAGGCGCTGGTTTGTTTGACAGGGATAGCCGAATGATTGTCCTGTGCATGTTCGGTGCTGCGACTAGGCATTTTACCCGCTGGCGGCCAAGTGAGCCAACCCGCTACCATGCACAGGGCAACGTGCCTACATGTTGCTTGTGGCTGCCAAAAACGGGCAAGCCATAAGTGTGATAGTGCGTGTTAGAATTGAATCATCACTTTTGTGGCATGCGAAAATGATTCACTTAGCACAACCGAGACTGTTGTACTCGCCGTAATCCGCATCCGGGGCGTGCTGGGTGGAGCAGGTCTGAACATTTAGCTGCCACCATTTAACAGGAATAAGGCCGATGCAGCCGAGTGCAAGCAAGACACACGAAATAAACAAGCACATAACAGACAATTTGCCAACGACTACTTATATCAATACCGTTGTCAATCCCCATCTATTTTTTATATATACAGTTTGAATACTGTGGGGAAACCAATGGTTTCTTTTGAAAACCCTAGTGGTTGCGGGACTGGCTTAACGGCTTGGCCACAGTGAAGCACGCCGAGTGGGAATGGATTTGCTATAGGACCCCACTTGTTTCCCAAAGTGTTTGTTTGACATCTATATTTGCCGGCTGCACAGCACCAACCACTACCGTCCGATGAACCCACACACAACCTTGCTGCCCATAAAGGTGCATGGTTCGCCACACCATTTGTGGGCGCCCGGTAAGCCGCTGGCGTTGCCGAAAAACTTGTTGCTCCCGCTCAACACAGTTCTCCCAGCCAGGGCGGCTGACAAATGTTGGCGAAGTGAAACTGTTTTAGTTTTTCTTGGGCCGGGAGACGCTTACAGGCTTACAGTTTCCACGTCCACTCCATGGAAACCATTTGATTGTTCCCAATGCAACCGCAAACATAAAACCTTTGACAACATAAAACCGTGCCAACATTTTGGAAACCATTTTTGGCCACAATCATGAAATTGGCACAGCGTCAACGAAGTGCGCTCCGCGTGACACACGTAAAAGATTTTTTGCAATTCGGCGTGCCACCTGACTCTTTCCTCTTCATGCTTTCAACATCTGCCGCAGGAAGTACAGTCTTCATTCGGTCTTGTTGAAAAGCTACCAAGACGATATCGGAGCAAAGGCAGGCAGCTGAAGGTATCGTGACCCCAAGAAAAAAATTTGAGTGAGGTCTTTCGGCGGCAACTCCATTTGGTGAAAATTTCCAACTGGAAGGCCAAACAAAGTCGGACTACAATGGTGTCGACTGTGGCCTGGGCATCATTTTGCACAAAGAGTCAGATCATATGCACCAAGGACTGGGTCAACGTTGCCGATTTTGAGAGCCATGAATTCCATCATGCAGATGGGAATTTCGCGGAAACCCTCCGACACTGATTAAAGATCCAAAAGAACCCGCCTTTATTGAAACTGTGTGATGGTGTGGTGCGGTATACGGGTGCAATGTGCTGTTCGCAGAGACTGCAATACAATATTTGAAGCAATTGTTTTCCTTCTGAGTGCAACTCCTGGTTGAGGCCGTCCACAATTTGGTTCGCTCAGTCCACTCAACGACCTCCTTGTTTTGGGTTCAACAGTCAAGAATCCTTTTCGTTTCGTTCTAGGGACCGTTGTCTGTTCACAATGCGATCGTTTCGACCGGATTTGATTTGCTACTGCCAGAAACACTTCGTCAGAAAATAATGCATTCCAACAAAGCACAAATTGTGGCCAGAAAGAACTGTAGCCTCTTCCACCCAGTCCTTTGTGGCGCCCCAAATACACATGTACAAAAACACAACACCACAAAGCTCGCCAAAGATCAATGAGCCAGGCCATTTTGCAACAACATCTTTCAGACAGTCACCTCAAAAATCTGACAACTGACACAACCACTTGACGATTGAAGGGGGAGTGAAAACAATGCACGAGCCTGAATCAAACAACGAATCCACAGGTTCGAAAGCGTTCGGGTTTGATTTGGGAAACCCAATTCCACTGCAATCCGTTGCCCACATGTGTAAGGGGACTCCCGGCAGTGCCTGGAAAAACCGAACGACAAGGTGGCCCGAAAGCACTGTAGAAGATGACAACACGGTGAAGATTGATTTTTTTTTGCACGAGTATGGACGCCGTGTGCGCGGTATGCACAGGTCATCATTCTAAAGGTGGAAACTCTGCAAGTCGTGAGAGGGAGAAGCAAAACCAAAACAACGGCACCAAAAACACCAACACAACAAAAACCCCCCAAGCCATCACTTTCAGAGTTTCGATCTGTACATAAGGGTGAAACAAGGTGAGACATGGATCGACTGCAATTAGCTACTCGGGCCTCGAATTCTCGAAATCATCTGCTGCTCATGCTTGTTGAGCGGCTTTGTGTATTCAGGCTTAGTTCGGACCAGCCTGCACACAGGCGCTAGCCACTGGACTGCACCAGAAAGCACTCCAACTCCTGCACAGAGAGGGCAGGATATCACTTCAGCAGTCTGTGGATGGGAGAGCAGTGCGTGATGGTTTCCTATGAACGCGGGTTGCCTTGAACTTGCTCCAGTGCAATGCATTTCTGGCCTTGGAAACAGTCAGCAGCTGGTCACAATCATTTCAAACAATTGCAAAGCCAGAGGAAACTGTGGCCTGGTGGGCTTGTGCCATAGCAAGGCATTGCAACATGCAGAGGGAGGGGTCGCACACATACCCAGCAAGCTCCTTAACAGCAAAGCCTACAGGAGCAGGAAGTGCAATCAAGGAAAGATAGAGTCGGCATTCATCAATCGGCTGCCTCCTTCATGCATGGCCCTTGTGAAACATTGTGAAACGTGAAAAGACTAGCTTGGTGCTATGTGTCCGCTTTGCACAAGATTGGCAGAGTACGGACCCTTCCCAGGCGAGGAGCTAAGGCCCTCACCCAGGTGCCAATCAGCTACCGTCGCGCGCAGACACCGGTCAGGAGCTAAGGCTCGCAACCGGGCCAGCTCACTAGCAGCGCGCAAACATGGGCACATTGGGCAGAGCTCACCTTCGCCTCAAAACGACCATCTTTTCTTCTGTCAGCAGGGTCAACGGAGGCACGCATGTGTTTATGCTGAGCGTTTATGCTGAGCACAGATCTCTGATTTACGAAGCATCAGCTTGTTTAGAGTCCTGCGCAACCCTAAGGGCCATCGCAACACAAGGCTGGCTTCGAAAGGTCCAAAGCAGCCTGATTAGGTGACATCCTCTCCCCTTTGCTTGGCCTAACCTTCTCATAATTCACATTAGTAGTGTGCTCGGGAGAGGCTATGCATGCCATGCAATGAGGTACGAGTGAGATATCTGTTCCTGACCTTGCAGACCATTTAGGGTTTTGTATGGCGAGTGGACGTGAGTCAGCAATTCCCCTTGAAGTTGGTACTTAACATTGAAACTGTTTTCTCGTGGGCTTAGCCCAAGTCCGACACGCATCCTAGATCTTGGATCATATGCAGCCATTGTGGCCATCGCCATGCTGGGCAAAGCGCTGTACAATCGAGGAAAGCTCTACTGGCGATGTAATGGAGTGAGGGTGGGATAGCGAGTTCTTGCAGCGCCGCACAGTCCATAAAAGCTTTCACATGGATTGTGTGTACTGTGTATGGAAGACGGACATCATGGAGCCTGGTACAGCGTACGAACGTGAACTCCCGAATTTCTTCAATGTTGGTATCCGAAATGTTCACATGGGTAATTAAGCAGTTTGCAGTTGTCACAGGCATGGGCTCCCAGCTCATAGAAGTCTCGTGGCAGTTGGAGTTCTTTCAGCCCTGTGGAACAAAAGCATCCCTTCGGGAGCTCACGACGTAGCACTGACACCAATGGAGCATCACGCTCCCCACTAGTGCACGAGTATCGCAAGAAGTCTGCGAGCCCCTCACAGGAATCCAACATCCTATGTTGCGCAGCCGAAGCAAGACGACTGGCAAATCGGCACTATTTCCATTAGAGCGAACCACCACGTTGCGACAAGCCTCAGGTTTGTCAATTGGCACCACTCCTCACAGAATCATGAAGCCGTCATCAACCAAATCAAACCATCCTTGCCTACAACCATCTTGAGGGCCTGCTGTCAAGGGCATCTTCAGGGAATGATGCAGTACTTGTCCTCACAACCACGCGAAGCAGCGCAACTGCTCTGCAAGGGCACTTCAATGAAGAATTTTTTTGCACGGGTCGAGGCGCTATGTGTGCAGAGGACGCACAAGTCACCTTAGGCTAGTGATAAGAGAGATACGAACCAAGCGGTAAACCGAAAACAGAAAAACCACAACAAGCCAACAAAACCAAACCCCACCAGAACCGAAGGCAAAGGTTCGTACCTCGAGTCGGCTGTGTCAGCCAGTAGAAGAGGTGAAACAAGGTGAGACAAGGGGCGATGATTTCATCCTTTGCACTCAGTACGTCATCATCAAGTCCTTATCGGTTTTCTACACAAAGAGGCTGTTTGACTTCCGCACTGCTTTCAAAACCTGTTGCATTCTTCGCGCGATGACTTCTGGAGCCGGAGCACCATACTTCAAATGGGATTTCATCTATCAGAACACGGTGTTGCAAGGCATGGGTTCGCAAATGCGCGTGAAGGGCAGCTCAGGCAGAGGCAATCGACACACCCAAAATCAGCGTCACGAATGTCACAGAAGCTTTGCCGGAACAGGGCGCAAGACTCATGCGGCTCAGGGAAAACGACTGTGTCAGCAGTCGAGGACTTCAAATCATCGAAAGCAAGAGACAGTGGAGCCGAGACAGTCAATGTGGTTGGGGGGTGCTAGCAAGCACAGTTCCGCAGGCCAACATCACCCCCCCAGAGGGGGGGAGCGGCAAACTTGCACATCCACGTTGCGGCGGTGACTCCAAGAACAGCTTTGCCACGGGAGTCACAGAAAGGCAAAAGTTTCAAAACGCTCACAAGGAGCCAAATTGAGCTGCCGACTGGCGCAATGGCAAAAAGATGTTGAGTGTCGATTGGTGCGCCACCTTTGTGCTTTGTGCATTCTTG